TTGTTTCAGCCTAGTCTTCAGTTACTGTTACGAGTTCACGGAGACAGTCGTTCCTACGCAACTGTTACACGCTGCTTGTTAAGTTACGGAGCTGATGTGTTCAAGGTGAATGGAAGAGGCGAAACCCCACTTCATAGATGTCAAGGGTCAGAAGTTGAACATCTCATTCGAGAGATTGCGGCATCTGGCGGGTACAAGAAACAGCAGTGTGTCTTTGTGAAGTCATTTGCTCATTTTAGAGTATCGTTATTACTAAGCATATGTAAAATGCTTTTATGTCCACTAAGTCAAGTCAAAATATTTCTATTTTTTCATTTATATCAGGACTTCACAGATTAGGAAAGTTCCGAGCTTTGGGGCTACAAACCCATCCTCAAACAGACAAATAATGAATAGTACTAGGTTAGCCAAAAAGGCAGGAGGGACCCAAAGAGATGTGGAAAGAAACAAGCCAAGTACAAGTGAAGCTAATAGCAAGCAAGAGGATATAAATGAGGACAACGGCGACATCACCGTCCAAGATCAACCTGTTCAGGCCACAGAGGGGCAGGAAAATCAGGGGGAGGAAGACGATCAAGGTGCTGTAAATGTGGCGATGGACGAGGACGTTAATATCGTGGAAAATTCTGTCGACGGAGAGCCCTCGTACCAGGTAAGATCGAAAAGAGATGGCACAACAATGACGTGTGACATGTACCAGCAGGTTAATTTATGAGATAAGACATGCCCGTACGTTTTTTAGGAGTTTCCTTGTCATATATAATATAGCTTTGCAGTTAAAAGAGCAGAGACGCCAGTCCAGTTTCGGCCTGAATTTAATCCGCGTCTCAGATGTTGATGCTGGGCGGATCATTGACGATAAGAAAACAACTTATCTTTCTCAATAATTAATGTTATTAATGAATCTCAACCCAGCACCCAGGATCTTTCTTGATCCCTCTTAAGTAAAGGAGTGGCAAAATGATGGTAATTTAAATAGCGTGAGAGTTTATGGGAGGATTTTATTTCACCTAATATTGTTTTAGAGTCTCACGCCAACCAATACATACAATAACGATTTATTCACAACATTTCTACTAAGTAGCTATTCCTCTGCGAATCTAAAAAAAGTGTAAAGTTTTGTGTGTATTGAAAGGTACAGGTTATCAGGTAGATATATATTAAAAAAGTACACCGACCGGTAAAAGGAATGCATCATTAATTGCCTCTACAAGCGGGATTTAGCCCAAAACAGTCTAAAAGCCAACAAATAAGCAAACTGAAACAAACAAACAACTAGCGTCATAGCTGCAGAGAATTCACCATTAACGTAACAAAAAAAAAAAAAAAAAAAA